CGCTTGTCGGAGCGCATCGGATTCGCAAACAATTTGACGACGCCTCCACCTCCTTGGAAATCTCCCTTTGTCCCGGCAATACAAATAAGGGCGTTTTTAAAATAAATTCCGATAAACTGCCACAATAAAATCGAGAACGGGGTTCAAACCGCGGCGCCGAATTACGCAATTTGGTAGAAAAAGAGAAACGACCATTTGGTGGCCGCGTGTAGAGCTACGCGGCTCGCATTTTTATTCGCGAAATTGCCGCCGAAGCGCTCTCTATAAAGCTGGGAAGATTCATGGAGGTTAGACGGTTGATCGGCATTGCTTCGGGAAAAAATTCAACGGCAGTCGGAACCGTTTCCACGGCATTGTTTCCGTACATCTTCAAAAGGGTTGAAAAATGTACTAATTTATTACGTACAACTACCCTTAAGAATAAGTTTTTCAGAAATACCCACGCACCAAACAATTTAACAATTTTTCATACAGGAGTTTTAAATTGTCTGTTGATATTTTTACAAAAAGAGTAATAACGTTTGTACTAATATTTTCAGGCAAATCGTTTAGAAAAAGTATCGTCACTATCAGTAATTTCAATACAACCTATGTACAATTAAAATAATTTAAAAAAATACATCTATTTTAGCAAAAAGGGTATAGTTGTTACGATGTCAATTGGAACCTGTAAATCTTAAAGCACAGGACCGTATACTCTTCTCCTGAAATTTCTTCTTATGCTTTGACCATGATGTGTCTCGTAATTTATACTCCAATAACAATTCGGCGAGTCCGCCTGATGTCGAACTGACGGCGGCACGCTGGTCATCAAAGCAAACCTGTATTGGTCTACTAGGTCGTAAATATTTTTTTTAAAGCGGAAGATAACGAAATAACTAGGAAAAATCCCCAAACAGTGGAACAGGTCGAAAGTATCGAAACAAACTCAGAGTTTAAAAACAAAGATTTACACGTAAAAAGTCAACGTATTATATTAAATATATATGAATGATTGAAAATTGAAAATAGTGAACAATGTGATAAAAAAGTTAGGAAACGGATTAACGAATTAACTGAGATATCAAAAACGACAATTTATCGCGTAATTAAAGAAGGATTGATCACGGTATAAAGAGAAAACGGAAAAATACAAAATTAAAAAAAATTGACGATTTTATCAGATGTAATGCGGCGTACAATTTATAATATGTATAAAAAAATAAAGTTTCTACTTTAAACATGATTCGAGATAAATTAAGCGATTATCCTGATTATAATTATAAATCTTTAGATATTTTACGACATGCTTTATTACAATGCGATTTTAAACATAAAAAACTTGACAATCGTATGGTAATTATATGGTAATATAGCTCGGAATATAGTATATCTGGACGAGACAGGGCTAAATTTATCTGGACGTCTATGGATTCCGTAGAATTTATGAGTTGAATGTTTTTATAAGGTTCCAACTGAGATCGTAACAACTATAATAGGTACTATTTTATTTATATTATATTCAATATATGTAAACAATGACAGTTGTAATATACTTAAACTGTCAATTTATCCATTGTTATAATGAATTATAATAATAATCATGCCAGAACAGAGGTAATTAGAAATTAGTTATGTCAAAATATTAAGCATATAAGCTTGGAGATGAACAGTTACCCCTGTAGATCATGTAGCACAGCGTGTTAATTTTTCAGCTAATATTTATTTCAAATAAGGTGAAAATTTATAATCAGTTCAAAATACTAATAATTTGATAGGTTATTCAAGTTGTGGAAGAAATTTTAGACACCGCTGTAATGACGACGATACACTGTTGCGAAATAGGATGTTCAGTTTTATTGTTACTTTCCAAAAGGGACGATTTGTTTTTCTATTTTGTGTTATGTGTAAAGAGTGTTTGCCAAATTTTGTCAATGAAAATTATATTAGCAGACAGTAAGATTTTTGGCTCTTATTTTATAAATATGTACGGTTGTGACATAAATAATTATGCCCAATTAAAAATTAAAAGAAAAAATGGTGGAGGCGCCGCTCGATGTCCACTCTGACACAAAATCACAAGTATTTCCTAAACTGTTAATTTTATCGAGTTGAACCAAGAAGGTATTATCGTTAGCAAATTTTTCAGTGAACTTATTTTTGGTACCGGCAGATTACGATCGTCATCTATGAAAAAATTCTGGGTTGTTAACCATTGGACATAATCCGTCCCTGGCGTTCTGAGCATAATGAAGTTTCACTTACAGCATCAAAAACAAGCTGTACGCATGTGTTATCAATCACCAAATTTGCGTCGTGCTGAAGTTAATAGTTTAGAGACTGTAAATAAAAATAACTTTTTAATTTTCACATTTGAGAGCCCGTAACTTGTTAACGAAGGCCCGTATGGAAAAAAATTATATGAAGAACTGATATTAATTTGACCCCATCACCCTGTATAATTGCAGTACAATACAAAAAAAAAACAAAATATTTTTACATAATTCGTTTTAGAATTCTGAGTGCAGAAACTTCAGCTAGACTAAAACTAGTTTGTTTCAATTTTTCCCACATCTAAAATTAATTAATATATAGAAAATTGAGGAATATTTAATCAATTTTAAGAACAAAATATTTACATATTAATTTCATACCTCAATACTTGTTATTTGTTCAAATTTTATATAATTTTGAATTAAAAATGTTTTAATTAATATCTTATATTTATTTTTGTTAGTCATATATTTTTTAAGTGATGCTGGAATTAAGTCAAAGAATTTTGGAGCATAAAAAATATATTTCTTTGGAGATGAGATCTTTAAATAAAAGTATCTGAATTACATTATTTGTTGTAGCTCTTGTTTCATAGTTGTGTAAAAGCTACGAATAATCTTGCTTTATTTTTACAACATGAATTAATGAACTGTAATAATATAGACATCTAATCTCATAAACCTTGATCAGTTCATAAAGCAATTTTGAGGGATATCCATTATTTTTATGAAAAAATATTTTAGAGCGATATTCGATTGTCAGTCTGATACGAGAAAAACTGTCCGAAAAATAGAACATTGCAAATATCTCTAAAAGTAGTAACGGCAACCCTACCAATGCTTATATGGCTTGAAAAGAAATTTCAATCCACATACGACAGAGTAAAAAAATACGGGGTGTTCCATTTAAGTTAACAAAGTTATAGCTGTTTGAAGTTATCAAAATGTAATGTTTTAATTTGTTGGTATACCATAATTTAGTGGTACCTATGCCCTTTACAGGTACCTAAAATCCACTTGAAATCACGCCAATTTGTCAATTTTTTTTTAAATTAATATCTCAAAATCTATAACTCCTAGGTATAGGGAATATTTAATAAAGTGACCCTCAATCTTACAATGTTTATATTGTAATCTAGTTTACTTCTAACTAGACAAAACTGATTTTTAAAATGAAACTACCACAATGCGAACGCAATATTTGACCAAACCCGCCAAGCGGATAGTATAAAAAAACAACGAGATTGAGCTCTGGTCTGGCAACTTTGCCACTTTGCGACAAGATGAATTTGGTCAATCCGTACCACTTCGCGTCTATTTCGCAGGACTAGGGCACACCCCGTGTATCGAATTACGGCCTGCCCGAGCTGTGCGATCAATGAAGGGGTAATTTGTATTGTTAAAGTTTTATGCGTTCATCAGCCGCCCGCACGGCGGAATAATTCATCGCGCTAATATGATGAGTGACGCGTGAGGTGGCTACACATGACGCCGCCCCCCCCTTAATGAAGCCGTAATTAAAAATAATGCCCTGGTCCTACGGTTATCAATTCTGCTGGTTTAATCCCCGCCAACGTGACTGCTAATTTTTTATGCCACCGCTATCGCGATAAATTTGAATTTTTTTTTTTGAAATACGCTTATTTCGTTAAGCAAATTGTGATAAATTTTTATAAATTTTTTAAGCAAGTCACCGACGTTTATTATTATTGATAGTATATAGAAGCCTTTATAAAAGACTGTGGAAACCTTGAATATAAAAAGTGTTCTGACAACTGTTAAATGAAAAATAGTTCAAGTTCTGAAAGATTTTCGGGAAATGATTTTCCAGCAGGCAGGGTGCCGATTATCTCTAAATAAAATTTTATGGACTTTTAAGAGGTGTCCTGAGGTACAAAAAGGACAAAAACTGTATAATACAAATGAGAAACGATTTTCTATTGTTAAAATTACACAACATTGTGTCCTGATGCTTAATTCTACAAAATAATTAGCTTAATAAATTTAAAATTCGATAAAATTCATATCGAGCGGTGTGACAACGGCGCAGAGAGGTTTATTAAGACGATGTACTAAGGTGTCCAGCAACCACCAATACGCAATTCAGTTGGTATCTGGATTCGACCGTGTCGGAGTGTTTTTTGCGTACCGCTATTTCCTTTTCTTGAGGCGTTTTCCAGCGAGTGCGTGAAAATTGGATTCCTGGGGTGCAAATCAATAAATTTACGATGACATTGGCTCAAGAATGGAAATATTTATCTGAAAGTTGATGATTTCAACGTCACGTAAGTGTCTTTTTTATTGTAAAGGTCTTCCTGATCATACAGATACTTCATTAGATTGGGCAAGACATGAAGAACATGAGAAACATATCGAGGATTTTTAAAGATTAAAATTAAGTCCCAACAAGTGCAGTTTCTTTCATAGCACCCCTGTATATTTGTAAGGAGACTTTTGGAACAAATTATTTCGTTTTGGCGGTTAAATTTTTTACACTCAATTATTATGGCACGCCCTGTACAGTGAAACGTCTGGGATTAGATACAGAAGACACCATCCAACCCATCGCCGACCGCGATCCGAATCCTCCGCAGCCTCGCGCCGTCCGACCTGGGTGACTCCGGCCCGAAGATGCCGGCCATCGACTCCTTCGCCCGACTCCGCCGATCTCCGCCGCGACCCGCGCATCCCCCCACCACCCCCGGCACGCACGCCGCTCGCTCGCCGCCAGACCGCCGTCAGACTTGATGAGGGTAGCATTCGCGGTGCACCATGTCGGGGAACATCGTCGCGGAGTGGTTGCGCTCCCTTCGGCTCGGCCAGTACGCCGAGAGCTTCATCGACAACGGCTACGACGACCTGGAGATCTGCAAGCAGGTGGGCGACCCGGACCTCGACGCCATCGGCGTCTTCAACCCCGCGCACCGCGCCAGGCTGCTGCAGTCGGTGCGGACGCTCCGCGAGGAAGGCGCCGCGTCGGTGTACTTCACCCTGGAGGAGGCGCCCGCCGTAGCTGCCGTCAACGACGAGTGTTTCTGTGACGATGTGAGTGTGAAGTCTTCGAGGACCTCTTCGGGGAGGTCGGAGAAGGAAGTGTCGAGGGTGACGGCTTCGCCGGCGGCGTCGTCGTCGGCGGAGAGCGGCCAGGAAGTGGCCAAGTACTTGGATGAGTACGAGGAGGGCAAGGCGGAGCTGGTGAAGATCCCCAGGGTGCAGCTGAAGATGTTGCTGAGGGAGAAGCTGGCCAAGGACGGGATCAGGCTGAGCTGCCAACCGTACTCGACTTCGGTAAGTCAATAACCACGTGTTAATTCAATTCCAGTGGACTTATTTTTCACATAACTTGCCTCCATTAAACGTTATCACAATCTATGATTCTCTAAATAGGAGTTTCTTGTCAAAGTTCACCTTTATTTGCGTCCTCGGAACAACCACCTTTGTTTTGCTTAATCATAGGTCATTGACCAATACATAATCTACCGATAAATCCAAGACCAAACCGTCGCAACATTCTTTTGGTTAAGATCCAGTTTGTACGTTTATTTTCGATTCTCTTCAAGGCTGGAATTGATTGTCATCTGTTAAACGGCCTTGAACCCCTCGTTTCCATTTTTTGAAATAGGATAACGGTGTATTTTAAAACCAATTAGGTAATTTTTGTTGAAAAATTAAAATTGCGTCTTCAAATCTAAAATTGTTGCAAAAATAGCGTAGCCTAGATTAAAATTGACGTCTACTGTTCAGTATCATTTATTTATTTTAAAGGATGACTTTCAATGCAGCTGTTTTAAGTCAACTCAACGAGTATGAAAGTTTTATGAATTTTAAAGAAGGATAATAACATGTAATTTTATAAAAAGTCGTTCGGAACACGTAATTTTATTGTTACAATGTAATATTCATAATATATTGTTGCAAATACGACATCTCCTCAGTATTTTGTTTTAATTTCAAATTGTTATTATGGACGATTTAAATTTAAGTTATTCTTGAAATTTGTTTGATATATAGTACCTAATAAATCGAAAAGTAACTTCACAAACTTTTTTAAATCTTTTAACGATGTTTCAACCAATTAAAAAAAAATTAAACTGTATCCTGCCAGTCTAGGTAAAGTACTTTCCAAAATCCTATTACACCTGACACCTCACGTACTACAAAATAAAATTGACGACAAGAAGGGCCCGATACTGGTCCTTGGGGTACACCCCGGCAACCAGAACTAGGTTGCGCCCAATAATTAGATCCTTTTTTACTGGCAGGTACCCGCTAACCGTTTTACTTATTCAAAAAAACGGGTCCCGCGCGAAAAGGACGAAACACCGCACCACCCAGTCCTCTGGCACGCATTTAATTTTAATTCCTCCACCAGGGGGCCTCTTAAGACACAAAACTGCTGGCTCTTAACCCTTGGAGGACAGTTTAGCCCAAACTAGGCGACCTTTATAAATAAATCCTTGCCGGGGTGCTATATAATTCAGGGGATCTATTTTACATTAGTGAGGCTGAGTCGTGCAAAATTTAAAGGTCTTCGCCGAGATGCTGGCTCATCCATTGTTAACGAAGCCGGGCAGAGATCGATCGGACTAGTTTCGGATTAGATGGGAAAACTCATATTTCCTTAGAATAGGTCCGTGGATAGGAGGACGGTCGATGACGAACTCGTCATCGCGGGAAATTGAGTCTCATTTTTTCCGCGCGCTAGTACAAGAATATACATAAATAATCTTTGTTTGACGGTGTTTTTTTTCATATAATTTAAAAGAATGTAATTTTATTGTAAAATTACATTAAACTTATAAATTACATAAAATTACATTAACTGTTACTCTTACTTTATTTTTCTGAATAACATTTATTAAATAATATTCGTCTCTCATTGTGTATTTTAGGCTCGATTTTATGCGTCGAAATTACATTTGCGATTACATTATAAACGTCTGTAAAATATGTGTAAAATAATTCCCGATCTTAACTTTAGCTATACTAAATAATTACAAAGACATATAATTTTATTTTCAGGATACTATTAAAACTTACGATCCTGTAAATTACATGTAAAATTACATTAAATATTATTTTTACTTTATTTTGTGAAAAATAATCATGTTTCAAATTTTAAATTTTATTATTGTCTTATTATATATTTTATTTGTTGAATTTCAGTTGAAATTACAATTACAATTACATTATTAATCATCTATGAAAATATTTAGTGGAAATTTAGCTAATTTACAGAACAATTACCCAAGAGATATAATTTTGTGTAAAATTACATTAAACTTATGATCCTGTAAAAATTACAATTACAATTACACTACACATTAAAGAGAATATGTAAAAGAATGTGTAAAATTACTTCCTTAATAAAATGTTAGCTAATGTGACAAAATTTACGTAGAGGCATGTCATTTTATCGTAAAATTACATTAATTGCATTGCCTACATATTACATTTATGTGTGTAAATTTATAATTACATTAGTTGCTGTTTTCACTGCATTTTTCCGAAAAAATCGAAAAATAGCCTACTTAAATGTCTATAAAAATACTTGTGTAAAATTACTATCAATTCTTCGAGTCGCGGTATAATTATTGTGCAAGGACTATCCAGTTTTCATAAAAGAACATTTACAACTCGTGTTCTATCCATATCTTAGAAAAATTTTGTGGTAGTTATTGCTCACAAATGTTTTCTGATAACGTTGGTAGTTTAAACAAGTTATTTTGCGCTTAGATAAATTTTATTACTAATGTAAGTGCAATTCCTTATCAACGTATGAGTAATTGTGGACAAATATGAAATAGTCGTCATTGGGTGCAGTGAAAGAAAGACTAAGTAAATTTGGATTATATTTATAATAGATATTGATGAAAATGAGTTTCGTTAATATAATACCTTGCAAAAAATACAGTAAAATTATTAGTTGACGTACAAATACATTGAAAATTTACAGTGGGTACATATTTTTACGTAAATTTAATGTAATTTCCTTGTAATTTCACACCAACGACTGCTAAAATGTAATCTTGAGTTGACATTACTGAAATTATAATTTGACAACAAGGAACCTGTTCTAATTTTGTAATTTTACGGTATTCTATTCTGTTCATGTTATTATTAACGTGTTCTGCTTATTAAAAAACACGCGATTGCCGCTGACGATTAATAAGGTGATTAGGGACACCGCGTAAGCGATCTGTGGAACAACATATCGAACTGTTCCAGGAAATTGTATATAAACATCTCCTTCAAGCGTGTCGCAGCGTTCGAGTAATTAATTGCCACCGCGTGGAATAATGCTTTCCTCAAATATTTCAAAGAAACCGTGTCATACAAGTTAATCACTCTCTTTCCTGTCCCATTCGAGTTCCCGGAACGGCGCATTGTGTTTTATGTAAGACACATAAAAGGTGCAATAAAATTATGTGAACAACGTGTTCGACATATACGCAGATCTAGTTAAGAGTCCATTAAACTAAAATTGATCGTGAGGCGGCGCGCGTTCCGCGAAATCACTCGCGTTTCGCCCGGTAAGGAACAAATTTCTTAATAATAAGACAAAAACTAGCTTATTTGTTGATAAATTTGGCATTACTTTTTTCAGTTTTTTCATTCGGGGCGCACAGTCTCAGCTACACGCTCTCCGTACTGAATTTTCACAATTCACTCCTCGGAATGAAAATGGCTCATATCCAGAATAAGCGTCCCGATCCTCGCCTGTTTCGTCGCGGTCGACTTTATTAAAATAGCGCGACAAAATCTAGCCGTCCTCGCTAAAAAATATTGCGCGATTTATCATCCGTACAAATGCCTCCCTCGCCATTGCTCGCTGAAAATCACACGTGATAAACCGGTGTACCACTCGAACCGAGGCTATTGTTATTAATGTTTTTTTAATTTTTAGGTATCGGGCGACTGGATTTATGCCGTTTATTTGGGATGCGCCGGGATCGCTTAATTAAAACAGTAAATTGTAGGTGGCTCCCGGCAGCGGTGACAATTTTTTAATTTAATGGTACTTGTCTCTGTGTGGACAAGATTAGGATCCTTGTCTGTGTGTTAAAAATAGTAATTGGGATCATATACGAAAAATATTTTCAAAACTTTGGTGTGGAAGTTAGTGAACTGTTTTTACCTCAGTTCTTGCCACAAAGGTCTCTACATATTTTTTATAGCAAAACTACAAGTTGGCCAAGTAGTTAGCACAGCACGTGTGACGTCACACCACTCTACTGGCTCGACATGACGGTGCTATGCGCTATTAGGTATTTATTGTGATATAATTCGTTTGTTCCCTGTCTATTGATATTTTTTCACCTGTGAAATAAAAAGGCGATTCGTAAAGCGAATTTAATCAACACGTATTGTAAATTTTCCCCGTATCTCGTCGGTCTCCGTGGTGCAGACTCGAACAAGAAGCCATTCCGGCTGGCAACCAGATAACCCGACGCAGATAGCCTTTGGTAATACAAATAATTAACTCGACCCTGTTGAGGTTACTCATTCGCTGCCTCTCATGCGTTTGATATTCCGGGAATGCGGCCGGAGCACCTTAAATTTTCCGCGCTTACTGAGATGCAGCTCGCGAACTAATGTCGAGTACGTCGGGCGGGAGGCGCGAGTGCTTGAATGAGACAACCTTGCTGAGAGAGCTAACCACCTTGGTTTGGATTGGGTGGTAAATATTTTTGAACTACATGTTAGAAAAGCTTGTTTTATTTTTAATTGTAATATTAGTTTGCGATTTTACAAACAAAGTTGATGATGGTTTCTCGCAACCGAAATGTCGCAATAAAAATCTAAATATGCAGTGAAATTCCTCGAAAAAAACTCGCTGTGAAGAAGTGTTTTCAGATTTTAAAAATTCCTCTAAATAAAAAAGTAGCAATAGAACTGTTTAAAATTTTCCCCACTTAACCATTTTCCTATCTGTTATAGTTTTTTTTTTTCGAAAAACGTGAGAGAGTAGTACCTAATTTGTAGAAAATTGAAAGACGAATCCGAAAATATCATGGTTGTTACCGTAAATCAGTGGCGTACTACACTAATGCAAACAATTAAAGGATCAAAAGAATTTTTGAAATTTATTCGTGATTTTTGACAGATTGTTCATCAACTTTTAATTAAATTAAAATTAAAGTTTATGACCCAAACCAGATTTCGACCCCATCACTTAAAAAAAACAGTTTTTTTTCAAAACTACCATTTTTCTTCTCTGAAATAAAATTTCTATTTTTTTTTTCATCAATTTAAACGTTATTTGCGGTAAAAATGTGAGAAAACTT